CCCTTCTGGACAGGAGGGTCAGTGAGATTCTCGGCTTGCATATGTGTGTGAGGACTCTGTGAGCCATACGGCAAATATGGGTTATTGTGAGCCAGTGACTGAGGGAGAGAGGAGGCTTGGGCCGTCTCTGAAGAGGTAACAGGTTAGCTGGGAAGGAACATCATGCTCTGTGTTTGTTTGTTTTTAAGAGAGATTTTTGTTGTAGGGCACATACGCTTGCTAGAGAGACAGAGACAGAAAGACAGAAAGTGAGAAATTTCCCCTCAGTGGAGACGGCCATGCCTTTTCCTCCATTCTTTTCTCGGGATCTTAGGCATGCACGTGCACATACCTGGCTTGAGTTTTAAGCTGCCAGTCTGGGACTTGAACCACAGTTGACTACATGGGAGTCTAGCGATGCAATATTTTGCCATCTGGTGGTCCCTCTGTGTTTAATTTTTAATAATAAAATCAAATGTCAAGTCAGAATGTTTTTGCTTTCAGTTCTAAAATTGGAATAATTTTGATAAAGGATAATTTAATGACCAAATATTTGATTGGGTAAATTCGTTTCAAATGACCTTCTTGCACTTTAACTGAATAGTGCTTTATGATTTATGAAACACTTGCATTCACTTGATCTTCACGTTAATCCTTTGAGGTAGATACTACCCTCCACATTTAGGAATGAAGAGCCGTGAGTTTAGCAGTCCCAGGTCTGAGCTCAGCAGGTCTCCCGGTGCCCTCGTTCCTGCTCTTGTTCTCCATATTCCCTTACAGGGAAGCTGACTTCTAAAAGGGCTCAGAATGGAGGGTGGAGGAAGCTTGGGAAGGGGCACAGCCAGAGCTAAGAAGCTCGATTATCACAGGCAAGGGTGATTGTGGTCTCTTCACTGTCCTGACGGGGCGACAAGGGACTTTGGGCTCTCCCTTTGAGGGAGGAGAGCACTAAGGCAGGAGAGGCTCGTGGTGACCCACCGTATGTGGAAGGAGGGTGACCAGATCCGGTGGCCCGTGGGTAGGCATGTAAGGTGTCAGGACTGTGCATTCTGTAACGAGCATCCCAGGAGATTCTTTTGCAGGTTAATTGAAAAACTGCTTCTGTGGGGGACCAGGGTCAGGCCAGTGAAGGCTCTCAGACAGACAAGTGCTTTGAAAGCACCGCCGTGTCCATCTTTGACAGCTGAGACTGTCCCAGAGAGGGTTCGAATTCCTTGAGTGGCTCACCTATCACCGTGGGATTGCGTTTGATTGGTCCACTTTCTGCACCTTGGCCACAGGACATGATGTATCTAGAACTAGCTGTATTGTGTAACAGACTGTCCAGCTTATGTGAACCGATAATGTTGAGTGAGAAAACTCAGATGTGAGCATTTGGAAGGCAGTGTGGGCAGAGCAGTGGCATAGGAGACGTGGCGGGCAGGGATGGCAGGGCGCCTTGGTGCAGAACCGAGGAGCTGGTTGCAGCTGTGTTTACAAGGCTGAGGGAACCCCGAGCATCTGGTTATGAGGAGGGTGAGACTGGGCAGGGCCCACCAAGGAGGCATTTAGCTGAAGAGGAGCCCATGCTGGGGTCTTGGCTTTGAGACTGGCAATGGCAGGGGTTGCAGGTGATAGGGCAGGTGGTGAGAAGAGTCGATGACCTTGTTCAAAGGCCAAGAAGGCCTGTAGTCAACCCAGCTCGTCTCCATGCTGGCTAGGCGAGTGTGGGGAGTTACTGCGTGGCTTGGTGTTAGAGATATGCTATCAAATGAGTATCTCTAAAGCGAAGGAATCCCATACAGTGTGGGAAAAACAAGGTGTCCGTCACAGTCCACACATACCCGCGCCTGAAAGCCCACGGTGAGAATGTGAACCGCACCGTTTACCTGGACTGTTAGCCATGTTAGATTTGTTCTTATCAGTGAAAAGTCGCTCTTCTCCCCCCCAAACAGAAATTAAAGCTGCAGAGTGGAGAGATAACTAGAGAAGAGAAGCACCCTGCGTCGGCCCAGTCCACCCCCAGCAGCACCCCACACTCTTCCCCTAAGCACAGGCCCAGGTGAGCCCCCTGCCCCAGTCCTGAGCACGAGGGGGTTTTGGGAGCCCCGTGCTGCAGGCAGGCCTGGGTTAAGCCTCTAGTCTGAGGGAGAAGGGCTCGTTCACAGCCCTGTTCTCCGGGTGAGGACACTTCCGAAGCATAGGAAGAGGGTGTATTAGGATGTTCTTTTCCCTCTTTTCCAGAGGCTGGTTCCCCTCTGGTTCTTCCACAGCCTTACCTGGCCCAAATCCTAGCACCATGGATACTGGGAGTGGGGATAAGGACAGAGCCTCATCAGATAAGTGGAGCCTCTTTGGACCACTGTCACTCCAGAAGTCTGACCCAGGTACCGTGGGAGGAGCAGCATGGCGGCATTTCGTTGTGTTGTGCAGTGGCAGCGGCTGCTAATCTGGAAACTATCTGCTCTCTGGTTTACGCCCACAGGACGCTTTGCCACCCAGCCCTACCGAGGTGCCCAGAAGCCCTCTCCAATGGAACTGATCCGTGCCCAGGCCACCCGGATGGCGGAGGATCCAGCAACCTTCAAGCCCCCCAAGATGGACATCCCAGTGACAGAAGGGAAGAAACAACCACCACGGACCCACAGTCTCAAGCCCCGGGACTTGAATGTGCTCACGCCCACTGGCTTCTAGAGCTCTCTCTATCCCAGGGCCTGTGTAGAGGGTGTCTTGCCCCGCACCTCCCCTCTTTGGCTCTGACATAGGAAAGGTATATTTTTTAAAAACCTCTTAAACTGAGGCTAGAGCTGGAGACATAATTGGTTTTGGAGAAGCCGTGTAAGCTTGTCCTGTGTGAAGCCATCTTGTACTTCTTTAATGTTAGCCGCAATCATGCCCACAGTGAGGTATGAAGGACGTTACCTGTTTTTGTATCATTCACCTTAGACGAGACCTTTGCTCATTGTTTACTGGGCAGACAATGCTTGTGGTTTTTCCAAAACAGGGGCCCCTTCACCACTGACGTGACAGACCACGGCAGGGGGCACTCGCCGCCCGCCTGGGCCACGGCCCTCGGCTGTGCTCTAGCCTTGTGGGCAGGGGGCCCTGGAGCTCCGAGACCTGCAGTTAGAGCCAGACTTGGCCGGGACCCCGTCCAGGCTGCGCTAGTCTCTGCCTTTGGCCGACCTAGTGGAGTCCTCTGTCCTGCAGCCCGTTCTCCCCGTGGTACCCTCGCCGTGCTGTTGCAGGGCATCTCCCTTCGTGTGTCAGAACAAACAGTAGTCTTGCATGTCCTTTCCTGCACTCTAACATGAGATAATTAACGCCAATCTGGTTGGAAACCTCCTAAGGAGAAAATTCAGTCTGCTGATTTGGTGTAGATAAATGGATGCTGAACTTTAAAGCGAAGATGGGAACTAGTTATGCCTTGGGGCTCGTGTGAACCTAGTGTCACCTTGGATTTCCTTATTCAGGTTAGGGGAACATTTTTGGGAGAACATTAGAATTCAAAATTTTCCATATGGAAGTGTTTTTTTTTTTTTACTTGCCAGAGGGCTGGGTGCTTGTCAGAGAGAGGGAGAGAAAGAGACAGGGAGAAAGACACCTCCCCGTCCCCCCAGGGCATAGGATGGAACCCTTTTCCATTTTTCCATCTTCTCAGGATTAACATCCCGTGTGTTTTTCAAGCCACCAGGGTTGGGATTGGAATGGCAGTTGGTTCTGTGGGATCGGCCCCTTACCCACTAGGCTCTGGGGCTGGCCCACAACAGCATTTTCAGCCCGCGAGCCTCATCCCTTCCCACAGCACCCACCGTACCCAGGAGGGTGTAGGCAGCTGCTGCTCCCCTCGCGGGGTGTGCAGTCGTCGTCTCGGGCACCGGCTCACATAGCTGCCGAGTTCTTTCGGGTAGTGTCTTGTCTGTAGAAGGAGCTGACTTCTCCATCGAGCAGCCCTGGGGTCTAACGTTACCAGGACAGTTAATTTATGTGTCGTCTGTTATAATCTTGTTTGGATAATAAAAATCCTTACTACTTTCTCAAATGTGGTCACCTTTTTCTTGTCTTGTTAACAGTAGCTACCACTCTGCCTACCCGCAGCCAGGAAACCTAAGCATGGGGAAGGCGGTCTTTTGAGAAACTGTTCCCTTTTTATTGTACCCTTTTAACAGCAAGTGTTTTGTAACACTCTATTCATTCTTTTCTACGCACTTCATGACATTAGATCTTTGGAGACTGGCCACAGAGTCACATGAACAGGCACCATTCAAACCTGAAAGAGCATGCACCCACTGGGGACGCAGTCGGGCCTGAGAGCACGCGCCCACTGGGGATGCGGTCGGGCCTGAGAGGGCGCATCCACTGGGGACGCGGTCGGGCCTAAGAGAGCACACGCCCACTGGGGACGCGGTCGGGCCTGAGAGGGCTTCTTCTCCAGCTTGTCCGTGCTCTGGATGGTGGCACTGACAGGGTCTGTTCAGATTCTTTTCTCCCATCTTGAATGGAAAGGTTAAATTTATAGTGCATACAGTATCACCTGTCTTGAAGTATAGATAAATAATTTATTAAAAAATATATACACCTTGTATATTTAAGCCATATTTGAGAACAGGCTAGGAGAGGACTGGATTATCAAAAAGAAAAAAAAAAAGGTCTTTTTAAAGTTACAAAGTTGTTAGGATCTACAGATAAATAGGAAAGGCTTGGTCCTGTGAGGGTTAACTGCTGTTCATGCTTGCAGGCTGCTGGTACTGGGCTGCAGGGCCAGGAGGTATTCCTGGCCTGGGTGCTCGGAAGGCCTTCAGGGGCCGCTCCAGTCCTGTCACGAGGGCTCTGCGTCGGGGTTCAAGCCCGCGGTGTAGAAGAGCAGGAGCTTCAACAAGTGCACTTTGTCTTGGAGCTGGGGGACCAGAGGTGCCCCCAGCAGCTGGACCAGGCGCCTGCGGAAAGCCTCGATCTGCTTCTCCACGTCCCCCACCGTGATGTCGTCTCCTTGCTGGGGCCTGGGCTTAATCCTTTTGATTATTAAATCTTTTCGATCAATCACTGAACTCCGCAAGTGTTCTGCAAGAGAGGGGGTGCCAGCTGAACTGCTTTTTACTCCTTTATGATTTAGGGTCAGGTGCAATTTTGGTAGGTAAGACCTCGGCAGATGGGACCAGCTACTGGGATACAGGCCAAAGGCCATGTGAGGACTTGTGGTAACTCCATTCCGAGTCCTCTGTTCCTGGCCCTGTGGTCCTCAAGTATTACATACTAAAAAAAATGTCCCCGTGCCAACAGGTGGTGTGGTGGTTAAGGTGCTGGACTCTCACACGGCCGACTGCAGTTTGAGTCCCAGATTCACAGTTTGAAACTCAGCTGGGTGTGTGTGCATGCGTGCCCAAAATCCCAAGAGGAGAAGAGACTGCAGTGTGGCCATTCCTCCTGGGGATTGATTTCTCTCTCTCTCCACCCAGCATTTTAGTTTTCTCCTTTTGTTGGTTTAAACAATGGGCCTATCTTTAACACACTGTATTTCAAATGAATACAGCTACTTAAGCATTCAGGGCTCAGGTGGTAGCACGGTGATGTAACTGGACCACGTGAGCACGCAGTCACACAGCGCCACTGTGATCCGGGCCAGCTGAGACAGGTGAGTCGGGGCATGAGGATTTTGCAATGCCTGTTTGCAACGCCTGTCTCTCTCTTGGAAATGGAGTAAAAACTTAAAAAAAACTTGTGCATTTTTAGTATCTTTATGGAGATTTATTAGTATGAAAAAACTAGGGAGAAATACTGAAATTAGTGCGTAGAGACGTGGACCCAGTTGTTGTGGACTGATGGCTAGTGGCTGCAGCAAGACTGAATGAATAAGCCCACAGCAATCCCCACAGCCTGGAGTGAGTGCGATTCAGAGTGACATCGGCGGCTGTGAGAATGAGGGAAGCAGGCAGACCTCTGAGCTGTCCTGAAGAGTGAGGAGGAAATAACCAGTAAGGGTCTAAGGGAAAAGCAGTCCAGACAGAAAAACAGCAAGTGCAAATGCCTTCAGGCAGGAAAAATGCACTTTGAGAACCAAGACAAAGTCAGGGTAGTAAAAGGGAAGGCAGTGCTGGTGGGACTGGAAGGCATCACAAGGGCAGAGGCTTCTGGAGGGTTTTAAGTAGGGAAGTATGGGGCCAGCAGGTGGCCAATGGTTACCTTGCTGGGCTCCCGCATGGCTGACAATGGTTCGAGTCCTGTACCCAGTGGCCTGAAAATCACACCAGGCACATGTGCGTGTGTGCCCAAGATCAGGAGGATGGAGAAGGGGAGAAGGGATTGTGGTGTGGCCATTCCCCCAGGGGGTGATTTCTCACTGTCTTTTCCCTCCCACACACTGTGAGCACACATGCCCTAAGGCAAAACCTCTAAAAAGAAAAATAGGGTAATGTGATCACTTTGCTACTGGTGGAGAATGGTCTTGGGACAAAAGCTTGTTAGTAGTTTCTTTTTCTTTTTTTCAGGTTTTTGCTATAGGACACTTAACACTTATCAGAGAAAAAAGAGAGAGAGAAAGAAAGAAATACTCCCCACCCCAGCCGATGTGGTTAAGGTGCTGGATTCCCTAGAGAGAGAAAGTAAGAAATACTCCCCAGCCCAGCCGATGTGGTTAAGGTGCTGGATTCCCAGATGGCTGTCCACAGTTCAAGTCCCAGACCTCGTGGCTTGCTTTCTCTTTTTTGCCTATGAGTGCATGTGCTCTGTAGCAAATAAGAAATAATAATAATGATAAATAAAATTAAATAAATAGGAACAAGCAGGTGGCATGGTGGTTAAAGTACTAGACCTTCTAAATGGTTGACTGTGGTTCGAGTCTTGGACCCAATGGCTTTTTAAACACTGCGCG